CAAAAAATATTTTATTTTTTTAAATGGTCTTTAAAAATATTTTAAAATTCCAAAATGTAATGAGTATTGAGTATGCTTATTGAATAATAAAAATCAATGTTTAAGTATGTGTTTAGTGGTTGCTCACGAAAATGAAAATCGAATATTGTTCTGCTTAATATTTAAATGGGATTACTTAATTTTTTATGATTACCTTCGGTTACAAAATAGATATATTATAATATYAGTAGGTTGTGAACATATTTTGTAAAATTTCAAATAATTTAATAAAAATGTAATATCATTATTATAATGACATTATATTTTATTACATTAAATAAATMATGTACAAAATAAATATACACTATACAATTTACAACTCAAAATTAACGTACTCGACACTCTTTGACCYCACCCAAATTATTATTTATTATTAAAATAATACACGTCAGTACGGCTGTCAGTGCAATATTCACTATCAACAAGAGTGAACTCGAATTTAAAACTCTTAACAGCCATCTTCCGATTCAGATATAAACTATAAGTAAAGTATTTTTTAAATATATTAATAATATTATTCTAGATTTKTAGATCAAACTTGTATTTTTAACATTTATTGACGAAAATATTATTCATATGATGGAAAAAGTTCTATATGCTGGATTACCTACTAATATTGGTTTTTTATTTTATTATTATAAAGTGTTTTTGACATACAAGGTCATCAAACTTATTGATAAATATTGTAATAATGTTCCATCGACCATATTACATATTTTATGGAGGTATTGATTATCAGGCTCTTTTAGTATGTACAAAGCTATGAATAATATAACATTCTGTGTTATGGAAATGGAATATATATATTTCCGTTTGGTCGTGTTAAATATATTATTAGAAATAACATTTTAATTTTAATTGAATTTTAACTAAAAATGTTAAGTACATTAAACTCAATCATTAGGTTAATAGGTTACATAGGTATTGTAATATTTAAAAAATTATAATACCTATATAAATATTATATTTATATACCTACACCTAGTGTATGATTCTTCACTAAAACATAATATAGGGATCAAAATATGATAGATTATATTATATAGTCAGCAGTTGTTGTATAGTCTAAGGTTTATTTTTTGTTATACCTACATATATTTTTTTAATATTAAATGAGTTTGTTTGATAATATTAGGTAAGTGTAACGATATGCTCACACATCATGTTTATTAGTAATTTAAATATTCAATAGAATAAATAACGGTCAATTTGTCGCACGCAGATAACCGCTATAAACACAATAAATCACTGATGAAAGGACCGATTTGTTCATGTGTTATGTCTGGTTTCGAATGAACTTATACGTGTTGTGACCATGTGACGCCGCAAGTGTGATTTATTTCGTGTGCCGCCGGAGATAAGGGGTGGTCCAATGAGGGTCTCTGCCACTAAGGATAACTGTAAATATTTGGTAACGCAGAGGCCTTCGATGGAGCCGCCTGTGACTCTGGCTGACTTGACCACGTCGTCACTTCTCATCAGTGCATGAGTACCATTCAACAGTCCCTAAAATATCCAAATTTTCGTACTACACACGTCACACATAGTCCCAAATCAGTTAAATCTAAATTATACAATATATACTACCTATCAATTAATGATAATATGTGTTTACAATAAATAATTTTATTTAAATAAAGTAGAACCTCTATTTAACAAATTTAAAGGTTCTTTACAAAAAATTAGTGAAATAAATTTTTTGTTAAAAAAATTTTTTTATATTTTTATATTTTTTTATATCCTGAATTAATATTGTTATATTAAAATTKTATAGAATATTATTATAAAGGTTATTATAACACACTTTTAAATTTTGTACTACACACTGAATTATTCGTACTACACAAAGTGTGTCGTACTACACACAATTTTAGGGACTGCCATTCAACAGTGCATGAGCACCATTCACGAGTGCATGAGCATAACCAACCACAACTGCAACAACCCGTCATGAGTGCAAGAGCGTTATTAAAATCAACCAAATCGGATCCTGTGAGCGACAACTGACTTTTTCCATTCTTAACGAAAATTTATAAATGTTATATTCTAGTATTTATTTCGATTTGAGAATTTAAAACCCTGTTTTTTAACCTTATTAAATCACCTGAATAAATCAAACACAGCTGCGAATAAGGTAAGATGCATGAGCATTATAATCTTATGTATATTAATGTTTATAATTAATTTAAAAATATTTTATTATTACGGTGTATTTGATCATATTCTCGAATTACGACCTCGAGAGCCCTCCGACGATCAGGAGGAAGGTAATAGCTCGAATTTAGACATTTTATAAAACCTATATCTGGTATCATATTCTCCAGCTCATATAAAAGCAGAGAACGATACAGAATCCATTAACATCAACTCTTTCTCCCTAATTAATTATTAATTTCAATATAACTATTGACAGGAGCCTTAGTTTTATCAATTGATTAATTTATAATTTGTATTTTATTTCTTTTCTGTTTTTTTTTTTTTGAGTAATTACATAGGTAAATAATAATTTAAAAAAAGACTTATAACAAATAAATTGAATAAAAAATAACACGCTACTCGATATTTTTCCTCTGTAAGGTAAATAAAATGTCATTATAAAATATGCTTTTCTTAAAAATAGTACCTAACCATGACAACGAAAACCTTACAAAAAATTGGACGGAAATCAATAAAACGTTTATCTAGCCCCAAAACATATTCATATTAAAAAATTCACTAGATATAGACCTATCTTTAGAATATAGATGATACATAATATATATTAATTTTTTTTAAACATATAGTTTCTATAGTAATATCATTGATTATAGAATAGAAAATAGTCTATTCTATAATCAATGGTAATAATAAATAAGTTATAGGTATCAAAAATTTAAGCTAGGTACTTAGGTGCATTATGAAATAATATAATATTATATTATATGTATATGTATTATATAATATGTATGTGTCGTAGGTAATGTGAACTAAGAAAATTGCATACAACTTGTGTTAAATTTAAATACAAGGAAAAATAAATTGTCTTTGATATTTTGTTGTTTCACAATATTTTGATGATACACATATACGATATACCTATACTAAATAAATTATAGAAACAGGGCATGGCAATGATAGTGATTTTTAATTTTGACGGAAATAGGTTATTTCCCATGGGATGGCTATTGCAGTGCACATGCATTAAGAATCTATCGAAAAATCAAAGATTTTCTTTATTAACTACCTAGACATACATCACATCTATAGGTATATTAAAATTAAGATATTTAACAATATTTAACTTATAAATAAATTAAAATATACATTTTTACTTCTTATATAACTTACAACACTAAGTTTTCTATAAGTTTTCCTTCAAGTAGGTTAGAGAAAACTCGAAGCATCATTATAGGAAAAATTTTAAGTGCGTATGAATTTTAAATTT